CACTTCGGGGACATCATTAAACTAAACGTACATGGTGATCGTAAATATCCTAAAATCACTTCATACATACACAATATTATCCAAGACAGTAGGAATATTAATCCAGCGAATTGAACCTCACCCAAGTGAATCAAAGTAATATGTACTGCATATATATGTCTGTTTAATATCTTATGGGTTAAGAGAACGCAGTAATTAACCGAGGCCTAGTTCGTTTACGACGATCAGTATAAAACGAACTTCTCCTCTCTAGAATCTTGTTCAATACATAAATGTAATAGTGCAACTAATTAGTCAAGACCAATTGTACCGTTGACACTACAACCATTCGGATGGGGTGTTCATTTCCATCTATGTTGTGAACTACAATTCTAGTTTCGCAAGTAACTGATTGAATGATCTTCTATTCGCCCGATGACGACCCAGTCTATCTAAGTTCAAAACAACAGAACATAAAACTTCTTTAATCTAACATTATTCTCCATCATAAAGGGTAAAAGTGTAATATCATCTAAAGCCAAACTTTTAGTATATAACACTAACACTCGTTTGGTGGAAAAGAGAATCTAGATAGCTCTATGTGTGTTATGTCTTGGATGACTAGAAAGAGGTGTATTTAGGGCACCCGCAACGGGGCATTTAAATTCCCCGTTTAAATGACAGCTGGCCATTCACACGATTGCGGGCACCATTAAGGGGTGGGCCCCTTTGTCCGTTCAATGCAATGAACGGCACATTTGGGTGCCTTTTTTTTTTTTTTTTTTTTCTTTCGTTTTCATTTAATTATTAAATAATTTTTTTTCTTTTTATGTATTTAATTCAATTTTATTTATACCACACTTCTTAATATTGATAAATTAAAATTTTATCTATATCACACTTCCCAACATGTATCAATAATTTATATTTTATCTATAAATACACCTCATCTCTATAATTCTCTTGCACCAAAAAACTTAACATATTTGAACTCATTTTGCCACCAACTAAAAAAGTTATTTTTTTAATTCTACTATTTTTTCTTGTGTAATTTTAATTTAAGCTATTTTGATCTTGTAGTGTTCTTTTATTTTCATGCATTTAAAAAAAATATTATTATTATTATTATTTAAAAATATTAAATTTTTATTTTTATTAAGAATAGAATATTAAAATTTATATTGAATGTGTGGATAATGGGTCCCATATATGTATTTAAATGAATGAATATGAATGTGGGTGTGTGTTTAAATGGAGAGATGTTTAGTGGAAACATGATATGGATGAGAGAGAGTGTTAATTTTTTATTGAATGAATGAGAGGGGTGTGGATGCCCTTATAGGCTTCAATAGGGATCCTAAGAAGACATTAAATTGGGCTTCTCCTAGTATGACTAGACTAGACCAAGCCTACCAAGCCTAATAAGAATAGTCATTCCACTAAAGTAGTATTATTGAATGCTCCCTATTTAATTCCCAAATTACGATTTAAGTCCACATTCTAATATACTCGAATTACCTCCACATGTTTAAGATATAATGTCCGTCAATTTATTTAATTACTGATAATTAAATTAATCGACTTCTTGAACCAAAGCTAGCACCGTTCAATCATTATTATTAAGTCGGAATTTAATCAACCTGCAGGGTTTAACATAATAATCCTTCTTAACTCACTTCGGGGCCATGATTAAAACTCAATTATGTGAAGTACATGGTGACTGTAAATATTATAGCAGAACACCATGTCATGTAGGAATAACTACCCAATGCAGGCAGTTATTGGCCTATATCAATAAACCCCACCTTGTTGAATCAAAGCAATAATTACTACACAGATGTGCTTGTTTATATCTTACGGGGTAAGAGAACGTAATAATTAGTTGAGGCCTAGTTCGTTTACGACGATCAGTATAAAACGAACTGCTCCTCCTTGGGATCCATTCAATACACCAATGTGTACTAGTGTGACTAATCAATCAAGATCAACTGTATCATTCACACTACAACCGTTTCAATGAATTGTTCAATTTCCATCTAGGTTGTGAATCAATGGTTTATGTTTTGCAAGTGACCGATAAATGATCTTCTTTCCATCTGTGATGAACCATTTATTTAAATGCAAAGCAATAGAACATAGAACTTTATTTAATCAAACATGAATTCTCATTTAACATAAATAGTGCGAATCACATCCAAAGGCAAACTTTCAGTATAAACACTAACAATGCGCAAACCAATCTATTAATGAAAGAGCTCTGATGGATAGTAGGACGCTTATCGAAGACATATTAATTTTTATATTATTTCCGCTTTTAATTTCGGTGTTCAAAAACACATTCCGCACTCTGTTTACTCCCCTAACTACGTTTCAATTGGCACATGAGTAGTGTATAGGGTTTGTTGAAGAATGCTCGCTGATCTTACTATAAATCGATCGAGAATCTTATATATGAATCATACACGTAGCGGAACTAATAATCGGCTTCGAATTCTTATTTGTTTGTTAATGCCGACTCTGTACAGACATACACGACCTACGGGGTCAGACAAACAATTATATGAAGTTCTTTAACCTTCTTTCATCCTTCTCGCCATGTCTTGTCATCGTCGCAATCATGGAGTAGCTGTTGCACGAGTCGTCGGGTATTGTCCGTGGGTTTTTCGATCGTCCATGCATTGGTGGCGCATGACTGCTGCTGGGCGCATCTCGCGGTTGTGTTGGGGCGTGCTGCCGGTGGCTGTGCAATCGCTAGTCGCATGCGACTGGTAGTGCGTGGGTCACCGGTGATCGCCTTGGTCACCAGTGATGTGCCCAACACCTTGAGTCTTCTATTGTATATCTTTTGCCTCGGTCAGACGCCGTGTGCGCGACGGTCTACCAAACACGTGTGGCCGAAACTCTCTCTCTCTCTCTCTCTCTCTCTCTCTCTTTTCCTCTCCTCTTACGTGTTTAGGCGTGTAAATGATTGGGATCTTATGCATGAGAATTGAGTTTCCCACATGACTCATTTAGTACCAGGGACCCTAAAGGAAACTAGGATTAACACTCTCAGTGGCCCAAGAAATGCTTGGATTGTGGCCCACCCTACTTCTTTGGTCATTAATAATATATAATTTCACTAAATATTTATCATTGCACTTCAGTTCCTTCACCCAGTTATATGAGCTCCATTATCCTCGATTTATCTCGTGTCAAAGATATAACATCCGAGTTTAATATTCTTTCCCACATTATTTTTAATGTTTCTTTCCCACATTACAACCATAATAAAATTAATTTAAATATTGTTATCACGTGCATCACAAAGGTGCATTGTATATATGAAAGGATATTCGCTTCAATTTTAGTTTTTGTTGGGAGGGTTTGATATCTATCTGTCTATATATTATTACTTATACAACACCCGTGTGTTACACGGGTGCTTTTTAAAAAGTTTATTATTAAATTTTAAAATCAATGCGAGAAAGTGTGTTAAAAATTTTAAATACTTTTTTTACAAAAAATATATATTATCGTATATTTTAGAATGACTTACTTGTGTTATATTGTAATAATTTATCTAGCTTATACCATATAACTACTTTAAACATAAATATATTAATTGATAAATAATTTTATTTTTTAATTAATATTAGTGAATAATTTTATTATTATAATAAAGATAAATATAATTTATTTATTTTATACATACAATATGGATGTCAAATCGAAGTTTCTCAAGATATAATAAATTTGATATATATATATATGTGTGTGTAAAACTAATAAAAAATACAAAAGTTATTAACTTTTAAAATACATTTACAATTCAATATTTATAATATGAAATGTATTAAGTGCAATTAATACAACTAAAATGACCATAAATAATCAACATATTTATGGATAATCTGAATCTAATTAATTTTAAATTAGAAATAAATTAAAATATATCCAAACCAAATAATAAAGTATGAAATTTTTTTGTCACATATGTTCTCGAAGCATGCGAGTCTGCCACTTAAGCTCATATTCGAGAATTATATATAAGAGGTAAGAGAGATTATTATTATTATTATTATTATTATTATTATTATTATTATTATTATTATTATTATTATTATTATTATTATCTCAAAACAATTGAAAATATAAAATAATAAAATAAAATCTCGACAGGCAGTTAAATGCTGGTTATCGTGTAGTTAGAGAGTAATGTGGAATTCCACCATGTGATTACACTACATCACACCAGGTCACTTCAAAATCTTAAACCCTATAATCTCCATCTTCGTCGCGCCAAAACCCCAAGATTAGCATTCTGCGAATTAACTTGAGAATTGGGATTTCCAATACGTTAATCGACAGCCAGAAGCGGGAGGCAATTGGATTTTGTAGCGCCCCGTTTGTTTATTAAATTTTTTTAAATATTATATTATTATATATTGGCATTTTATTTGATTTATTCCTTTGCTTTATATTATTTGCCCGATTATTGTTATTAACTGCTCGTCTTTGCCTGTATTATTTATCTGCTTGAATATTAATTCCTATATGCTTAATTGTCCTTATTTATTATGTTATTATCTTATTTATTTATGTGTTACAAATATTAGGATTTATTTGGTTAGGATTTATTCGTTTCGGCGATTTTCGATTTAATTGCGTAAACCGAACTTTTTCCATTTTAAACCGTTTCGACCCGTTCTTGAGGCATTTTTACCCGAACCTTGATATTTTATTTTCGGCCCCTTTGATTTTTTTTTTGTTTTTAATCTCGGCCTTTTGGAGTTATTTTCTCGGCCCAATTGAATTTATTTATTTTGGCCCATGTGAATTAATTTCTCCTAAGTTAGGTAAATTCGGCTCCGCCCAATTATAAGAGAGACCTCGGCCCACTTTGTGGATTTTGGCCCAATATATGTTCTCTCTCGAGTCGGCTATAGGAGATTTCAGATCCCTTTTCTTCTTCAAACGGTCTCGCTCTAAATCGAAGCAAACCCCATCATTCTCCTCTTTCGATTTTTCAGTCTCCATCGCTGAGATATCTCATCTCATCTTCTTCCTCCAACGACGAGAAAGCAGCAGTCGACCGAGTGGCAGGCTCCGCCGCCGTCGCACCTGAGGCCACGTCACCCTCCGTCGGCGAACTAGCAGTCCACAGTCAGCCGCCTCCGTGCAGTCCGCGAGCTTTTCCGGCAAACGGCAGCGGTCTCTTTTTCCGCCGAGTTCTCCAGCCATCTGATATCTGTGTGACCGAGAGGCCAGGAGAAAACCCCTTGCCGGCGACCCTCTCCAGCAGCTTTTCGCCGGTTTTGGTTCAGCAGCTGCCTCTGTTCACGCCACGTCAGCCGAGTTGCAGCAAATTTCCGTCCGTTTAGCACCTTTTTGGGTCGGGCAGCAGCCCCTTCAACCGTCTGTGGGTTTTCCAGCAAGTAGTAGCAGGTTCGGTTAATTCATACGCAATCGCAGCACCTAGGAGAAGGATTTCCCCGTCGAACAGCAGACCAGCCGGAGGCCTGTAAGCAGCACGTCAGCCCTCTCGCATCGCCGGCGACCCTCCTCAGCCACGCGATTTCTTCCCGCGAGCAGTGGCCGGTTCCTATTCAAGGAGCGGCTCTTTTTTGTTGCCGGCAGCGACACTCTTTACCGACGAGCAGCAGCCCTTCGGGGCCCGTGCAAGAGAAGCAGTGGCAGAATAGCGAGTCATTAGTAGCAGCCGGTTTGTTGAGAGCAATAGCCGAGCCGGCGGCATCTCCATCCCCTATTCCTCTTTTGTTACGTATAGTCTCCCGACGAAAGAGGTGAATCTCCCGTTTTGCTCTTTTGTTCTTCGTGCGATTTTAGATCCGTGTTTGTGAGTTGAAATATTGTGCTCTTTGTGCCTTGACTGTTGTGATAAATCGAGGCGGCTGGCATGTGTTTAGGTGCTGAATTCATGTATTGTTGAAGTGTTTATGCTCAGCTTTGAGTTGCTTTTGAGTATGAGGAAAAGAATCAAAAGAAGAGGAGCTGGTTATGTGTTCTTCCTTGTCTTGCGTGGTTATGCAATTTTGTGGCCTGTTTGTGTTCGAAATTTGCTGAGCCTTTTTGAATACCTTGTATGTTGAAATTAGGTGCTTATTTCAGTGTTGGATGAGCATTAGATTCGGCTTTAAAGGCATGCGTAATATTAGTTGGAAAATGAGACTGGATTCATATGCTTCTGGCCGAACTGTTATGTGATGCTTTCATTGAGCTATACATGATTATCTCATGACGGTTTATGAGTATCTGAGGGGTTTGTTATCATTTCATATGATAATTGCTCGAACATGAAAAAGAAAGAAGTCAAGTGAGGCATGTTGTGTTGATTTCTTTGGCCGTACAGTACGCTTAGTTGCTGAGCCTCTGTTATATGTTTAAGCTCTTGGAAATGTGCTTTAAGGACATAATGTTAATCAGTTTTTATGGCCTTGATGATTGGTGGTTTTAGTTAGAGAATGTTTAAGCAAGTATGTTATGTCATTTTTACCCTGTCTGGTCTTTCTGGTCTTTGTGTTTTCTGAGCTTTAGTGTGAGGTTTGGCATGTTATTTATGTTCTAAGAATTGATAGAGAGCTTGTGTATGTGTAGTCTTTGCCTTTGTCTAATTTATTTATCTGCTTTACCTGCCTTATTTGCCTTGGTTGCCTTGCCTGTTTTCGTGCTTTAATCAATCAAATAAAAACCAATAATAATAATTAAACCATAATTTGTAGATTAAGAAGTCGAGCCCTCGCCCTTGTTTGTGCGTGCATTCACCATCATCCTGCAGAACGTGCTTGTCTTGATAATCAACGTATGCATGTGAGCCGGTAGTCTACGAGAGTTGTCTCCATTGATTGGTTTTTCCGACGTTCTCCTAACTTTAGCCTATAGAGAGTATTCTCCCGTTGATGGAACGACGGTTTAGCTCCCGTTGATGGGTTTTTCCGACGGTTTAGAAGTGATCACATGAGCGTAGGGCTGTGTTAGGGGGTAGACTAGGCGATTTGCTTACATGCTGAGATTTTGATTTTAAGTCTTTATATTAATTATACTGTATGGTATTCCCACAGTGAGCATGTTGGTCGCTTACTCCCACTATTAACCCTCTTTTCAAGTTGAGCTGGTGGCCGTTGCGAAAGACGAGCGAGGCGGGGTCATTTATCATTAAACTGTGTTACTTGCTTTCGCTTATTTAATTGTTTTCTATCTCATCGTCAGACATGTATTATTATTGTTTTGAAATCTGAACCATGTTTTTGGATTATTATCGCATGCTTTGAAATTTAAACTTGGATTGATAAATTTGGGATATGACTGTGATTTGGTTTTATATCATGATGGGATTATGAACTGGATTATTTGAATATGACTGACTAATTGATGAGACATGTTGAACGTTGGAATTATATCATGTTGGCATGAGATATGCTCGGGATGGATGTCCCCAGTAGTTTAAGTCCACACTTAAACTGTTGTTATGTGAATTTTCGAGTAGCGTCCGTTAAAAAAATCTTTAAATTGATTTTTGAAAAATTAACTCTGATTTTTGAAAAAATAAATTGGTATTTTTCACCTAAAAATAACGGGGCGTTACAGATTTTCTTCCAATTACGTCGCCGCAGGAGTGAAATTATTGGGGTTAGATCAATCCTCTAATGTCTGCAAATCCTATTGAGCGGCTTTTTTCGATGTTATAGGGATTCTCAAATCCGTAGTTTCTGATTCACTGACCCTTTGATTGTGTTCAGGTTGTGCGGGTATGGTGTGGTGTAGTAACTGCGCCAAAGATATCATTCGACCTGATAGAGCCGAGGGCAAAATGTAATCATCTCAATCTCTTGATCTATTTAGTTATTCATTGGTTTTACTCATTTTAACTGGGAAATATATTATATCTATCTGAGGTAGTTCAACCCCAATTTAAAGGGCGAATTTTTTGAATAGTTTTTACATTTAGTGTTGTTGATACTGAGGTATAAGTGTTGAATGTTTTATCAACAAACAGATGCTGTTCTCTTTGTGGAAGAGTTCTGGATGAGGATAATTTTTCGCAGGAGCCGACATTTGTAAAAGGTGCAGGTGGACAGGTTTGCTCCTGTTTTTGTAGTTATGTTTGTTTTTCATTCGGTATATATGCCGAATTCTAAGTGGATCACAATTAGAAAAGTTCATTGGTTAGTTATGACAGGTTCTTTTAGATAGTTGATGTGCTCGTGGAATGTCATTTCTGAATTTGGTTTGTTGGCATCTTTCATGTTCTGTTGTATTGACTAGCAGTTACTATGGGTTATGAGTTTATTCTGCTGATTTTTTCATGCATCGCATGTAAAATCTTTGATTATGTTTTAATATGTACATTCCATATCCACTAGTGAAATAATTCAGACTTGAATAATAAAAAATCACATTGTAGTTTCAAATCAGCATATGAATCTTAAACAGGTGAGACCGAAAAGATTGCAGTTAAACTTTGTATTATTGTTTCACCTTTTCCAAGTCCCAACCCAATTCTTTCTATGAACGAGGTTTAAGTGATTTTGTTATGCTTCCATATTTAGTCGGATGTTGAATAGAAATGGACTAACTGTTAAACAAAACCATTCAAATTCTATTTATATTAAAGCATGTTCAAGTCGTATATTAATTGGCACAAATTCATTCACAGAGCCAATTGTCTGGAAATTATGTGAGGACCATTCAAAACGAATATTCTGTTTCTCGTGAAAGGACCCTGAATGAAGGTATGCTTATCGTTACTTACCTTTCAGAAATCTTCTTTAAGAGTAGGAACTACAAAGTCTACCGGGAAAGGAGAAATGCATGCCTCATGTTGTTACGTTCAACATAAGACTTGATTTTGCAAATTTTGTTTTGAGCATGTTCTTGACACTTCAGTATTTTTTCTTATGTCTCTAATTTTTCAAAAATATGTATTTCCATATTTTTTTTCACTATCCTTTTTTCTTTAAAGTAATTTACGATGCTTAGTTGTGGTCAGATGACGCTGAGATGTGTAGAACATCAGAGTAATTCAGAAAATTTAGATATGCATGCCTCTGTAATACTTGTAGTTTTTATTTGGTCTGAAACACTTTAAGGATGATAAACAGTGGCAGCATTTAGTTTCTACGTACCGGTTGATTATGGGTTAGTTTATACGATTTATCAAACCTTCACCTATGTGCTGGTATAGCATAAGAAACAGATGCAATTAAATGTAATACTCCCTCCTATTCTTTTTAAATGTCGTTATGTGCTTTAACACACAAATTAAGAAACTTTTTCTTGCCAATATTAGTCTTATTTAAGGCAAATTAACATTAATTAATTTCTTTCTTTTCAACTTTTTTATTTTCTTTTAAAAGAGAAAACTCATCGTTTTCCACAACTTTCCTCCCAAAATGTGTAGTGTATTAATTGCATGAGGGTAACAATGGAAAAATATGTATACAAGATCCAAAACGACATTTATTTGATTAATAATCAATAAAGCCAAAATGACAAATAAAAAGAGTAGGAGGTAGTATATTTTATAAACTATGTTAACCTAGTGCCAACTCATTTTCTGCCTGCAGATTGAACATATGTTTGGAGTTCAAGTAGATTGTTTCCATTTATAATTAGTACTAAATTTCTAGACGTTTATTAGGTGTATATCCTTTTTGCAAAACCCCTTTAAATATGTCATTGAACTACATTGGTTATTGCAGCGTATGATGGAATAGATGGTATGATGTATGCACTTGGAATTGATGGTGGTGATTCGATAGCTCGACCAGCTTTAGCCTTTTATACGGTATATGTTCTTAGTTAGTAATCTGTGTTTCTAAATATTCTTTTGGTTAATTGTTGTACTGATAAATTATTGTTGCTTTTATAGATAGCACTTGAACGCAACTTCACTAGGGGTCGCAGGAAAGAGCAAGTGCAGGCCTCTTGCCTTTACATTGCTTGTAGGTAAAGGCTCTCCTTAAGGTCCTTTTCCATTGCAAGGCGATTGTTAATGGAATATTATTAATAAATTTAAGAGTAAGACCTAAAAAAGCATATTTGATAATAAAAAAAACTGAATTTATGAATGATAATAGCCTATTGTTTGACTTTGTGAAGAATATGATACCGGGATATTCATGTTCCTTAAACTTACATGCGAAGATGAAAAATTTTTGTTTGGTTTTTACTTCTGCTTCTATCATTGCCTTGTTGATTACATAGAACTCTGATATCTGTTTTGTCTTTTACTTTGACAGGGAGAACAAAAAGCCATATCTTCTTATTGATTTCTCAGAACATCTAAGGATAAATGTGTACGTCATTCATTTCTTGAAAATGTTGATATATTGGCCTTGAATTCATGAATCAACATATTGTGTGATTATACTTTTGTTTTATTAAGTTCTTTGTGACTCGGTTAAGGTGAAGTAATTACTCTTAAGTAGGCATTCCAGTGGACCAAGGTCTGGTTTATGTAAGGTCTATCATATTTCAGCCATAGGATAAGATAACCAAAATTCACAAATCACAATTAAGATAAAGTGTATCATATTCATGAATGACTGACTCCCTGACTTAACTGAAGAGGGCAGAGCACTAAATTGTACTAATATCCGCCAGAATTGCAGGTTTTGCTTCAATTAGGAATGACAGAAACTTATTATGTAATTTCTTCAAATTTTTTTACCTTTTCAAGTGAGACATGTTCTATTTTTTGGGGTGATGAAGATTTCTTTACTATCTTATTTTCTGGATGCTCTGCCAGTTATGTGCTAGGGGCAGTATTTTTGCAGCTTTGCAAACTCTTGAGCCTTGAAGAGCATCCCATTATTCAAAAACCTGTGGATCCTAGCCTTTTCATCCACAGATTTACAGATCGTAAGTACACCTCCGGATCCATTAATGATTATATTGGGTGTTATGACTTACAATATGTACGTGGTTGATGCTTTTATGTTTAGACTTTTGCTTTGTTTTAACAGTTCTTAAAGTAATTTATACGAGTATTAATAGTCTTAGTCTTCACCAACCGAGTATTTTAGTATTGAAAATCGTGATCATGAGAATGGAACTTATTATAGAAAACATTCGGATAAGAGATGTTTTCTCAAGAAGCTTAATTCACGTGTGGATACTTATATAGGTGTTCATGCAACATAATATCAATAGAAAAAGAAATAAAATGAAAAACAAACTAATTTCTGCTTTTATCTCTCTTCAAAGGCTATCAATTTGTTAATCTTGCTCCCATTTTTGTTTATAATTTTCCCCTTGTGTTTTATTCTTTCTTTTTTCTTTAAAAAAGTTGTTATGTTTTGTCCGTTCTGGTCGTATTTGAGCATCACTGAAATCTTCCTTGTAGGTCTGTTTGGTGGCAGAAAACCAAATGTCTCCAAAACTGCACTTCAGATTGTTGCTAGCATGAAGCGTGATTGGATGCAGGTTGTGAAAGAGGGGGGAGTGGGTTTAATTTACACTTGTTCAAATCTTGAATGAATCTTTGCCAACCTAATTGTTAACTGATTGTAGACTGGGAGGAAACCAAGTGGACTATGTGGAGCTGCTCTGTATATATCTGCTCTCTCGCATGGTCTCAAATGTACAAAGACTGAAATTGTGAGTGTAGCTCCATATAAGTCGTGTTTAAATGGTTGCAACATTTATGCTATGGGGAAGATATTTGCTTGATCTTTCCCTTTTCAGGCTGTGCTATTTGTGGGATGCAGATTAGGTTGAAATTGATTGTAACATTAGAACTGTTCTTGCGAGCTTTCTTTAATGAACAATTTCTGATTTCTTTTCTTTGCTGTTTTCAGATTAAAGTTGTGCACGTATGTGAAGCAACTCTCATGAAGCGGTTGATTGAATTTGAGAATACTGAGTCAGGAGCCCTGACGGTATGTACTCTCAGAAGCATTTGAATTCTTATATTTTGTTATGAGCAATGTTATGGAATGGCGGCCATGGTGACACCATGACGGTATTACGTGGTGGATTCTTGCCTAATCGCATGAGAAATTTGTGAAAGGTGGTGGTTATGGCAGCACCACAGGCCACCATGGCCGCCACTGTGGCGGGATTTCGGCCTGTCGCCATTTTCGACCATTCCCCATTTATGACATTGGTTAAGACTTAAGAGTCAATAAGTTTGCAGGCTATATAGATAGAAATTTAAAAATAAAAAGATCTATATGTGAAATTATGCCCTCAATGCTTCAATAATTGATTCCTCTTGGCTCTCACATTGATTATTTTGAGGTTGAATCACACCCTTTCCTGTATGTTCAAAGTTCCACACTTCCACTGCCTCTATATCACTTTTGTATTTATACGGACACTTGTTTGTGTTTCGTATTTTTTCTTGCATGAAGAATATGCTAGACTGTCAAAATTAGTGTTCGATAAGTTCTTTCTTGTTGCGTCATCGTCGATTTTTGCATATAATCTAATAGCTCAATGTTTGGTCTTGCACCTCTATTTAATTGAAATGATAAATGCTATTCTTGGTACGACAATTTTTTTTTTTCGTCATTCCTTTTGATGATATTGTAAGAAAATTTTTGTATTTGACTAGATTGAAGAGTTCAACATGAAAGCAGATGAGCTTGATAAAGAAGAGAGGCTTAGTAATACCCTCAAAACTGGGTCAAAAGCATCTGTGATCAATGAACTCCTCTGTGAGCACAAGGGTAGTGGGAAGTCTCCTTTTGCTCATGGTCTCTGTGAAAAATGCTATGAAGAGGTAAATTTTTCTGATTGCTTTGTGCACTATTTTGCCGTTAATGTTGATTTCATTTGTATGTTACTAGTGCTTGTGCTGGTTTTGTGCAGTTTATAAAACTTTCTGGAGGTCTTAATGGCGGGTCAGAGCCTCCGGCTTTCCAACGTGCAGAAATGGAAAGACTAATGGCAAAGGAAGCTGCCATCCAAAAAACTAAGACTTCGGAATCTTCTGCGTTTCCTGGATTAGCAGAAAATAGGAGCAAAAATGTAATGTATTTTTTTGATTTTCTGCCAATGCTCATCCATTCCCAGTCTGATTTCGCTTAGGTGTTTGCATCTAATTAATTGTTTTTATGATTTTTCCTCTCATTTATTTCCTTGAACCTTGTAAGCTCGTTTTAATTTGTCTGGAATGAATGGTTTCTCATTTTTTTTTTTCTTTTAGAAATATTCTTTTATTGATAACCTTCCTTTTCATCTTGCATGTGAAATAGTCTGATCACCAAAGGAGAATCGATGATACGTGTGAGAATGGAGTACAAGCAAACTCAACAGGCACGACCATTTTTGTATTTGTTTTCATACACTACACTACATGTGATAGAATGTCCAAATTGAACGTGCTATATTTCTTTCCTGAAATCTGATTAAAAGAATGTTTCCAGGAGCTTCTAAACAAGATGAAACCGTGGATGATTCTAGTAAAGAAAGAATCCAAGAAACTGATGCGACCTTTGAAGAATCAGAGAGTTTATCTGACACTGATGATATTGAGGTTTGTACAATTTGCCTGTGCTCACTTTTGGTTGAATAGAATCCATTGTTCTTTTAAAGTCTGTTCTACATTTTATCAAAAAGTTGAAAAGAATCCATTGTACTTTTAAAGTCTTCTACATTTTATCAGAACTGTGATATAGAGATTTCAGACTTGGCTATAAAGTTTCAAGAAGGTACTTTTGGTTGATTTTGGTAAACAAATTACAACCTAGGTCAGTGATATTATAATTGCCCCAGGAAGTTAGTATTGCATTTTCGAAGAACCTGATTCAGTTTGATATTTTGTTCTCATGGAACGCTATGAGGTCTTACCTATTTGGTGATACGAGGACAGCTTCATATATTGGACTGTCAAGTCATTTCCTTTTGCCAGATGCTTTTTTATTTTTCCGTCCTCTCAGTTTGAGTTTTGGTCTTATGAGCGAGCCTTTTGCATATCTTAAAACCTGTTACCACCCCCTATAGAATAAGTAAAAGAACGAAGCATAAGCAACCTTAAATTAATGGAGTCTCATGAGATTTGTACATCTAAGGCTCAGAAATGCTTCCCGTATCTTTATTTCCTTTGTCTGTTGTTTCAATTTGTTCATGCATTTAAAGGAAAGTTTTGTGAACCTGTTTTACATCCCATGGCCCATAGGAGTCATGTCACTATGAATTTGGTACATAGGTTGAGCCTCGGCATCTTAGAGGTGCTGGCTTTGTAATTTTGTATACCCTGAAGCACCTTATCTTGTGGGTAAGCCAATGTCCACAATTTGGTTTCCGTTGTTTTTATGGAATACCATCGGATAATAGTTTCCCTGGTGTCCGCATTTAGGTTAACCGACTCACATGGTCAAGAGTTATTGTCTATATGATACACTTGGACTTCACATAAGCTACTTTTGTACTTTAGCTAGCCTTTTTTTTTTCATATTTATGGTTGGAGTGGAGTGCCAGTTGCATTCACTACGATTACTGGAACTTGAAAGCTGGATTTACTTGAGATCTTACATGATTGTGTGAACTATCATAAACTTCTATCTTAATAACGTATATTTGATAAGCCTTGGGCCGGTTTCTCATTCATTTACTGTTCAAATAAAATGATTACCAGGTGGCATCATACCTTCTCAATGAGGAGGAGAAGGAGTACAAGAAAACTATCTGGGAGGAAATGAACAAAGAATACCTTGAGGTATTGAAACATGCTGTTCTTTCCTTTTTATGTTTGACATGATTTTTATTAAGTTGGCTCCACAGTGCATACATTAAGAGGCAGCATTATGTGACCTGGTACCACTTTCTCTCTCATGACGTAGGACAAAATTGTACTATGTTTAGATAGATGCATGTATGTGTGTCAAATGTAAAATACATCTTTAGGTACTTCAAGAGATCGCTTCATGTATTCAGGTTAAAAGATTTATCATCCCATTAATGTGTAGATAAGTATTTCATAGTTTCGAGTTAGAGAATCCACAGTTTTCTCTTCCATAAAGGGCGGGTGTTTGAAAAATCTTTGCCCTGTATGTAGACATGGCCAAATGGCGGGCCGGTTCAGGGCCCGGCCCGGCCCGGCGGACCGAAGGGTTGGGTTTTGTCGACCCTGAACCGGCACGCCCTAAACCCGTGCCGGGCCCATGACCCGGCGGGCCGGGCTGGGCCCGACCCGGGTCTGACCCGGAAAAATTTTTAAAAAAAAGAAAAAAATAGAAAAATTCAAAAACAATTGATTTTTCCCGTGTCGAACCGGACCCGGCCCGGCCCGCCGGGTCGGTGTCGAAAAGAAGACAACCCTGAACCGGCCCGGTTGAAAATCTGAGCCGGGCCCGTGCCGGGTCGGCGGGCCGGTTGACCCGTGGCCATGTCTACCTGTATGATGGCAGAAAATAACTATCAATGAACTAGGTTACTTAGTGCAGATTACAGACACATACTCATTGTATTATTATTATTATTATTATTATTATTATTATTATTATAATATGTCAAGGATTGTGAATGTTTTAACCGTCATATTAGTTTAGCCAAATAAGTCCAATTTAGTGTTTTTCTACCATCGGTCACAAGGAATTGTATGATTTTCTGAGGTAATTGAGAATATTAAAAATAGTAATATTTACTTTTGCAATCGAAATATATAACTTCTATCTATATTTGCAAATTCAGGAGCAGGCAGCTAAAGAAGCTGCTGCCTTGGCCGCTAAGAAAGCTTTTGAGGCAAATTTGTCCAACTGCTCAGGGGATGTAGAAGCTGCACAAAGGCTTGCTGCTGCAGCTGCAGAAGCTGTTGCAAAGTCAAAGAAGGTAGCTTATTGACAAATTGTATTTGTTAATTCATTGTTTGCTTTATCAAGTTGGAATTATTTATCAGAATAACCATGCCCTGCATGCATTGGGTTTAGTTGAATGATTATCAATAATAGGTTAAAAAAGGCAAAATTGTTCAGGACACACATCCACCTGATGTTTGGTTTTTAGGAATTTTGGGGTTTTAAGCCATTGTATTCAGAGTCTTAAGCTTTGGGAGCTTTTATTCAGAATTTTGGTGGTGTTCAATAATTTCACTTTGATTGTATTAATATAAATTAAAACTGAGTAAAATTCATCGTAGTGTAGTTGAATCATGTGAGGAGCTTTTTGGTGGAAGTAGAAAATTTGAGATGATGGTGGGACTTAAATCCAGGTCACACTCAACTTGCTATGAATAATGTTTTGGGTAACAACTAAAATACAAGCTCTAGTCGTAAGAAGACATTTAGATCTTATATGAGTCATGGTCGGTTGTTATAAATGTGCCTCAAGTGTGAGTGATTGCCTTTGTAAGTTAATAAAGATGGTTATCATTTTCCATATACTTTGTTATTAGTTTTCTCTCTTTTTATTTTTTTTTTATTTTTTTTTTTTGGGTGTCATAGATGTTATCTAGTTAAAGTATTGTGGGAAAACCTGTTCCAACGGCTTAGCAGAATCTGTCTTGGCTTCATAAAGTTAGCTGATTAAACTTTATACATGTTGTAAGTGCAAAATATTACATTCATAACCCAAAGTTGGAAGGTCGTGAAATACCAATGCATGTAAATTAATTATGCCGGTTGATGATTTTAAAAAATATTTCAGGAAAAACGTCAGAAGCGTGCTGCCGAGTTGAAAAATGCAGGCCCACCTCAAACCGCTCTTGAGGCAACTAGCCGAGTGCTTGATAGAAAGGTACAACTCCAGAAAATAACTTCACGTTTCTTACTGTGCTGCAATGAACTATCGACCATGTCTGTATTTTTATTTACCCATTGATACCTGCGCATGAATGTTTCTACAGAGGCTGAGTTCTAAAGTCAAATATGATGTACTAGAAAAGCTTTTGGGTGAAACTGTAAGTGCTTGTTTTGTTTAATACTCTGAATTTTTCTCTTTAGATGTTTTCTCTTGCTGTTGCAGTGTTTTTCACAAAGTTTGTATACCTAATTGGTTTTTTTTTTTTTTCTTTTTTTGGTTTTATCCACTTATATTATCTTATTTTCAGGAGCCGGACAGCCCATTAAAGAAAATCCGAACAGAAGAAGAATTGGATCATGATGACAATTACCTTTGTAAGGGCAAAGCCGAATCTGAGATCCACGACATTCACGATATGTTGTACTATAGCTAAGAGAAACCCGAATTTGAGGATGCTTATGATACAGATGTTGAGAATGTAGAAGAGTTTAATGACGACGATAATTTAATGATAATCATTTTATCAATTTTGATAATCATTTTAATGATAAATGCACAATTCATTCTTAAAGAGGTGCCATCTTGTATGAAATGTGGAGCTTAGCATTGCTCTTATTCGTGTCTTACCTTTTTTCTTGGCGCTCTAATCAAATCTATCTAAAGTCATTTCGAAAGCACTGGACCTCCAGTATGAAGCCTACAGTAACTGTAATTAGAAAATTAGCTGTAATTATAAGGCTAAAATAAACATTTGTAATATTTTATTCACATTTTTATTTTTACTGAAGTTTTGTTATAACATTTTATGTCTATTTATTTTTAACTTTTCATATTCAATTACATATACTAGATTTGATGAAACAATATATAAAATAAAAATCTACAAACTACAAATATCCTAAAGAATAGACCATTTCAAAGCGAAAACTTAACCAAAAAAATAAAAATATTTAACAAGCGAGCTTAGAAATACTTTACCAGATATGATTCATTCATGATCAGAAAACTATTAAATTAGAAAAAAACCGATCTCATTAAAAATGACACGAACATGAAAAAAAAAATATGTCAATTCAATTAAAAAAAAATGCTCCCCGACAATAAACTTGATTTATTTTACTTATTTATTAATTTTACCTTCATAATTTTTTTCCTCATGACAGGGAGGAACAATTCGGCAAGAGCTATATTACATGCTACAGAACGAGTCAGACGTGCACTTCTCATTCGGAACCTTCCAGAACAAAGGGGTCCACCAGGCTTCCAAAGGCATGCGCACGTCCAAATTCTGCCTCAACATAGCTGGCGACACCCCTTCGTCTAACCGTCTTTTCGATGCCATTGNCTTCTCCATTTACCTCAGAGGCCCGAACCCTAGCAAATTACCGTCCAAAACCCTTTGGCACAGAAACTGACCTCATAGTCATCTCCATTGCAACACTTGTCCTTGAAAAACGCCTGTCCTTGTGAATTTTCTTCCTAACAGCAAAAACCTTCCTATAAATCGCCTGCCAGATCATCTGAACTGCATCGTTTTCTCTCGAAGGATACCGAAACTCATAAAACTGCTCGATCTCTTTCAGTCGGTCCCACTTTCTCTTCCACTCCTCTTTACCCACACTCCTTATGAGGTTGAGCAAGAAGTTTTCCTTCAAGGCATCCGAAGTCCGAACAAACACACAAAACTCGGAATAGTCGAGAATGTCTTCATATGGAAGCTCAATATCGTCGCTTATGATGACAGGCACACAATGGCTGACAATGGCATCGAAAAGACGGTTAGACGAAGGGGTGTCGCCAGCTATGTTGAGGCAGAATTTGGACGTGCGCATGCCTTTGGAAGCCTGGTGGACCCCTTTGTTCTGGAAGGTTCCGAATGAGAAGTGCACGTCTGACTCGTTCTGTAGCATGTAATATAGCTCTTGCCGAATTGTTCCTCCCTGTCATGAGGAAAAAAATTATGAAGGTAAAATTAATAAATAAGTAAAATAAATCAAGTTTATTGTCGGGGAGCATTTTTTTTTAATTGAATTGACATATTTTTTTTTTCATGTTCGTGTCATTTTTAATGAGATCGGTTTTTTTCTAATTTAATAGTTTTCTGATCATGAATGAATCATATCTGGTAAAGTATTTCTAAGCTCGCTTGTTAAATATTTTTATTTTTTTGGTTAAGTTTTCGCTTTGAAATGGTCTATTGTTTAGGATATTTGTAGATTTTTATTTTATATATTATTTCTAGTATATGTAATTGAATATGAAAAGTTTAAATAAATACATAAACAAAATAAATCAGCATTTGTTAGATAAAAACATCTCAAGCAATGTCAGTAACATTTCAGGGGGTTAATGTAGTGTTTAAAGATAAAGGGAGTTTCTTGGATTAAAGCTCAACCTCAGAGGTGGTTTTGGTGAATATTTCCAGAATCGAAATGGTGTACATAAATTTAACTATGATCTAGAAAATATTAACTATTGCTAGAAGAATGTCCCGTTCATGTTGCAACTGTAATATTTAAAATTTCACCAGCACAGAACAACACAGCAACTATTTTAAGTTGGGATATAATGAAGGCAGTAAAAGGCAAGTTGAGGTATGAAATTCCTGAGTGAAGGTTGGCACAATTTCTTGAAAATTTGTACTGCAAGTAGTTTGGAATAAGTGACTACAGTTTATAAGGACAAGCATGCAATATTTATAAAGAAACTTGTCCAACAAACAACAGCTTTTCAGAGTTGAGACTCAGAGAACAACTTATTTTAAATCATTATTAGGTTATAGAGCCATTGCGAACAAGACCAACAGACAATGTCTTTATCCTTACAAATATAAGTCAAAAGTAATCTCAAGCTTTATCGATAATTACTCCAATATGAGATAAATAACTAAAATATGGATGGTAGCATCTTCTTTTAGACAACTAATACTTCACATTAACCTGCCATGTTCACAAACATGAAAAGACCTCCACTTTGCATTTCTAATGCATATACCTTTAGTCTTTTACCAAGGTTTTTCAGATTAGTAGCAATTCTCAGAATATTCATGGTCATCCGTATTCTAGCACACACACACACACAAATATAGTATACATACAGTAACAATAATAATACTGATCAGCAGATTTCTAAACCATCTATCTATTATGCTTAGAATATATTCCACAATATTTCGAAATACTAAGTGTGTGTCGAATTCAGCAATCATCATCAAAGGAAAGAATATGAAGAAATATGTCATAAGTAGAAGCACAAGAAAAAAAATAAATACATAATTAGGCACAAAGAAGACTTACATCTTTCCTATATACAGCTCCTTGAAAATACAGCAAAGTTGGACGACTATCAAAATCAGACGAGTCATTCACGTAATTCCTGATAATGTGCCTGTAAGGGGCAATAACGTCTTTCTCGACATTTGCAATGGTCGGGGGATACCTCCCAAAATCAGCAAGAATAAACATCGCGGGCCACAGCTTCATCCTTGCATTCAAAAGGCTATTCGGATGATGAGCAACAATCACATGATTAATTCCCCCGGTTTTCTTCCATTCCTCTTGAGCCGTCAAATATTCGACCAATTTCTCCTGTAATACAATATTACTACTCTTTTCCTCACCAGGCTTCAATTTCGAGCCTCGGTTATAGCTTATGGACGAAAAAAAGGGAACAAAAATAACATCGGCTTCACTAGCGTTCTTTACTCGCTTTGCACTGCGCCCTTTCAAATTATCAGCGAATTCCGAGCTCAAGAGATCTAAAGTCAGCCAATATTCTATGCTATGCTGCAAATTCAATCCACCTGGATATTCAGGAACCTCTACACGAATATCGGGCCAAACACCCTCACCAGTATTTTTCCAGCCTAACAGATTAAAATGAAATTCTGAAGGCAGGTCATACATGTAAACCTTCAGAACAGGCATTGGCATGTCATTCGAATAACATTTTCTTGAATTTGCAGTTTCATCAAGATTGCTGTTTGCAAGAACTTCAAGGAACTTGGAATTTGGCAGTATACCGAAATCGAAGGAATGGGACAAGCCAGTTGATCTCAGCACTAAAAACCATGATAACATGAACATTGCAGATGTCATCAAGAACCAAAGGAACAGGGACTTATAACCCATTTTTGACATTTCTAACAGTTATTCATCAATATTTTTATCATTTTTCGAATCAGAAGTAAATAGGTAAGGGCTAACACAAATACGCCATAACACAAATACTACCCGTTTGATTTCTTGGACATAAATTCAAGAATTTGGCATAATATGTCCAAGCTATTGAACAAACTGCCAAAGAAATCCTACCAGCCTTTTGTTCCATTTCACTCTCTCACCATATCTGAGCAGCAGATTAGCTTGCATGTGTTCAGGTAAAATATCCCAACATGATATAGAATCTGATACTAGCAAACCCAGCCAGGGATACCAAGGGGTTAAAAAAATTGGGGCAAAAAGACGGTATTTTTTTCTTTTCAAGAAAAATTAGAATAGCTTACCATATCAAATTAACACAACCCATATGAATTAAAGAATGGGCTCAAGAAATAAACATCAAAATATGACCTAGGTCGAGGAAGAAAGTGATTTAGAGAGGTTAAGGGCACTGCTCAGGGATTACATTAAAATAGTTTCTGTTGATGCTAAATTGCCCTTTTCCCCTCGTTTTCTTTTGTTTTTGTTTAATATTATCATTTCTAGTGAAAATTTTCAAACGAAGATTGAACTTTAAATCAAATAAACAAAATAAATAAAAAAAAAAAAAAAAAGA